ATTTTCAGCCTCCAAAAATCCTGCTGAAGGGTCAGCCCCGTGAATCAATTCCCTCTCAACAACAAAGACTGATAAGGAACTACTGAGAAAGGCATGATTCTATCACATCACACAACTGTGTGAAGGAAACTGATGAAGACCAAGAATTCCATAGTGTCATGAAATGCAGATAAATGGCTTCCTGATGTGATAATGGGGAGGATGACCAATAAGAGCAGTAGAAACAATTTATAAAAGAACAAGTTATTTGTCTACATAAAAACAAATCACTTAAATAATCAAAATAATTATAAATTAAAGGCAATGAGTAAACAAATTAGGGAAAGTGTTTCCAGTTTGCATAATGGATGGCAATTGATCAAACCAAAGAGGAAGAGAAAAAATGTTGAAGCTCTTTAATTCAAATTTCTGATATAGGAAACTATTCCCTCTAAAATGCTAGAAATTTTAAAAATTGGCAGATTTAAGTATGAAAAATACTTTAAAAAAACTTTTATGGAAAAACTCACTGTCCTCGAGTTAAGAAAACTCATAGCTGACCCTCCATTAGGATTCCAAGTGCACAGGAGACTTCCCACCTCTGTCTCAAGGAGCTGCTTTGAATCACCAGAGATGCACAGCCTTTGGGTAAGAAGTCAGACTCCCTACATTGCTGTTTTCATAGCAGAAGCAAGGCATGATTTAAATGACCAGTAAAAAATAATTTTTAATTATGATATAGATTTAATTTTTTTTAAAAAAACCTATTTAGTCATTGAAAGTATTTTAAGGGACATTTAATGATGCTGGTTAGTTATTTCCTATATATATGTATTAAGAATATAAAAAATACTCACCCTTGGAATAACGTAGGATAGGTAAATTTCAAGACAGACAGCACATACTGAAAAACAACAAATTAACATACATTTCAAATTATAGAGACTACATAATCAAATAGATTACTATTGAAGAGTGACAAAAATACTCTCAAGCTTTAAAAAGGCCTTTGGTATTATTAGTAGGTGTTAGCTACAGTTCCTTGTCACTGACTTAATTTCAACTTAGGGTGACATTGTATGTGTCAAACTAGGACTGCTTCATAGCATGTTTAATGGCTGGGACCTGTGGAAGCACACTGTCAGACCTATCTCCACAGGTACAACATGCCAGTCTTTCAAGTGCAAAATCGCACATGTCATTCAGCAACTCCTAAGTTGTCTCAGGTCAGAAACAACTCAGAGCTGACCCTCCCTCAGCACAAGAAGAGATTCTCCCTCAGAGCAGTTGGTGGCCTCAAACTGTGCCTTTGGGTTGTCGGTGCAACTCCTTACCACAAAGACACCAGAGCTCTCTAAAACGCCCTTATTTCCCCTAAAAACAAAAACCCATACACTAGTGGGGGAATGATCTTCTAAGACAAATCAAAGAGAGTGGGCTGCTTTCTCCTGATCTACCAGAACCTGGTAACTCTTAGGTGCTGAAAACCTCTAGGGGAATGGGGGTTAGCAGCATGAACATACAGAAGCACAGGAGGGGTCGTGATGCTGTGGACACCACCCAGACATTCAGCAACAGCACCTCTCTGACCTCAGAAAGGCTGCACTGTAGCCACAGAAGCCCTGGACCAGAAAAAGGCATGGGCTCAGTCATCCTTTTCCATGGTGCTCCCTGCAGATTTATGGTCCATTTTATTGTTTAGCTTGGTATTCAGTGCAGCCTGAAGTGCCCATCAACAAACAAATGGCTAGAGAAGCTGTGGTATATTCGCACAATGGAATACT